CCATGCCGGAAATTTCATCTGGCATGGGGGTTCCAGATGAGTCGCGTGCTGTACAATGGCACGATAAAAATGACGTCATTTTACCGTTATGAATGATTTTGTAATTCATACGCTGTTGAATGAAAGTAGTTACGGTTGTAATGATATAAATTTTCATTGAAAATAAAGATAAAGAATTTAAAATATAATGGAATATGGTAGAATATGCAAGAAAAAATATCTGACATATGTTTGCGGTTCGGATCGGAATATCCGTCCCTCGGTCACCCGCCCATGGGCGGGTCACCTCGGGACGGATATTCCGTTCCGAACCGCAAAATATGACAGATATTATTAGTATATACCGTTCAGTAAAGACTACGAATTTCAATGCCATCATTGGCCACATAATTATTCGCCATCCAGACTGCAACTTGAAAATAAGAATAAATAATGATCAGAATAAAATGTCCTACTTAAAAAATTTCAGCGTCACAGCCAATAACGTAAACGAAAAAAAGAAGATTATAACACCAATTGCTGAAACACTGACAATTAAAGTTTCAAAATTTCCCGAATATTCTCCGTTTAAAAAGATGCCTATGAAAGATATACAAGAATAAAAGTCGTTTACATGTCAGAAATAGAAAGTCGATGAATTTCTGAGAATATAAAACAGTGTTTAAAAAAGTAGAATGAAACCAACGGTAGGTGTAAAGCTTGCAACATGTTGAAATAAGTAATCTGCAAAAAAATTCTTTAAATGATATTTCGAGGTTTATTGATACGTGACGTTATATAACGGTCACGTCAAAACTAACAACAATGCCGTTGAACTAAATATAAAAAAAATATAGTACATATGTAATATTTTAGCTTTATATCTTTCCAAAGAAAAATGAATGGTAAGTGAAGATGAGGTTTGTTAGTTAATTATTCCTATCAAGAAATAATTGACTTTATGATTCGTTTAAACAGCCACTTTCGTAGACAGTGAAAACATGACGAAGCTCCGCCATTCATATGCAGTTTTAGTTACTTACATGTAAAACATGTACCCTTCTCTTGTGACACAATAACTTCATATTCTGCACAATAAAATTTGGAACATACGACAAAAACACAATAAAAATCATCAAAAGTGACTCGCAAGTAATGGTTCAGTGAAAACACAAGTAGGGTACAGATCATTAAAATTGTTTTAGCAAGACGGGTACAGTTATCAGAAATGTCGCCTCTATTTTTTACTATGTTTTATCAAGATTCAAAGATATTTTCACAAGTGTCTGTCCGGTAACATGAGGTTAAGACAATAAATTAAAGATTCAGATATGAGTTATAGTGAATTAAACAATTTTAGGCATACATTTGCTTGTGTAATCGGCGTGTGTTGACATAAACAATACATGAGGCGAAGAGCACAGCGTTTTAAGAAGGTTATGGATGTATATTTAAGCAAAGATAAATTATTTCTTAATATGATTCAAATGTTAACATACTGTAACATATTAAATTCAAGCCGATTTTTAATAGTTTAATGTGTCATTACGCCTGATTGTACGTTTAGATGCTGAGATCTTCTCACAAGATCCGGTTGGGGTTCAAATCGTTTATATACTGTGGAAACTGGAAGATTATTAAATTACTTAACCTGCACTGATGTTGACGTGTTGTATTTCTTAATTTATTTCTTTTTTTAAAATTTTGGAGTTGTATACATATACCATGTTTCATTTTCTGTCTTTACTTATTGGATATTGATAATCATATTTTAGGACCAAGTGATGGCAGAACTGAGGCACTATGCCTCATATGAGAAAGGTACAGAATGCTATTCAGTATAGAGGAGATTAAAGGCGGCTCGTTGTTTGGTATGAGAAAATGGAACAGAGAGTCTGACGCCAGACCTGCTTTTGCAAACAAGGCAAAACTTAAGTTCTTGAAAGGTAACTAATGAACTGAATGAAAATATCAGTTTTGATTGACTGCATACATTTTCTGCCTTGCAGTATTAATAAATAAGAAAAGTTTGATTCTTCCACGTCTGCAATACTGTTTTGTTAAGGTTTTAATCATATCTATGCACTCAACTTTAATATAGAAATATCCAATAGTTATGTAAAAAATTAATGTAAGCTAATGTTTTCCATTATTGCAACAATTATTCATAATATTTTTTTGTTTCAGATTGTGCGCTGGAAAAGTGGCTGACAACCTAAAGGACTGTAATCCATAGGGTGATTCTGCACCTCCTCAAATCGTCCAGGAATAGAAAGATAAACTGAAGATAATAAATGGACTAATGTGTTGCTATTTTTTGAGACAATTATTTCATATGGAGACATTAAAAACGATTATTTTTAAAATTTGTTTGTTTCTTTTTTAGGGTACAGGGTGACTTTTAAGCAGTTTCCAGCTATTGCCACGCACAAGGTGGAAAATTTCTGAAAGGGTGAAAATAGGTGGCATTTAGTGGAAACTGAATTTGCCACTTTGTGGTGGAAAAATGGTGGAACAGTGTCTAAATACTCCACCAACTTTCGACCCTTATGGTGGCAAAAGGTGGAAATAAGTGGCATTTGGTGGAAAATGAGTTTGCCACTCAATGGTGGCATAATGGTGGAAATTTGTCTAAATACTCCACCATCTTTCCACCATGATGGTGGCAATTAGTGGAAACAAGTGGCATTTGGTGGAAAATGGGTTTGCCACCCTAAGGTGGCATAATGGTGAAAGTTTGTCTAAATACTCCACCAACTTTCCACTCATTGGTGGCATTAAGTGTAAACAAGAGGGCCATGATGGCCCTGAGGTCGCTCACCTGTATATAGCCCCCCCCCCCCGGGCCAATTTTAACCCAAGGGCTTTTATTTGTTTATTTGAACAAACTTGGTAGACACCCATAAGAAGATGTTTCATGCTAAATATCTAAGTTCTAGCTCATTGGGTTTTTCAAAAGAAGATATTTTAAGTTTTTACTATACACATATAGTTTAAAAAAATGACACCCCTGGGGCAGGGCCAGTTTTGACACCCGGGCTTTTATTTGAACAAACTTTGTAGATATTTACTAAAAGATATTTCATGCTTTATATCTAAACTCTAGCTATATGGGTTTTTTCAAAGAAGATTTGTTAAGCTTTTGCCATACACATATAAGGAAAATCAATGACCACCGGGGCGGGGCCAATTTTGACCCCAGGGCTATTATTTGAACAAACTTTGTAGACACTGATTAGAAGATGTTTCATGCTTAATATCTATACTCTAGCTATATGGGTTTTTTCAAAGAAGATTTGTTAAGCTTTTGCTATACACAGAAAAGGAAAATCAATGACCCCCGGGGCAGGGCCAATTTTGACCCCGGGGCTATTATTTGAACAAACTTTGTAGACACTGATTAGAAGATGTTTCATGCTTAATATCTAAACTCTAGCTATATGGGTTTTTTCAAAGAAGATTTGTTAAGCTTTTGCCATACACATATAAGGAAAATCAATGACCACCGGGGCGGGGCCAATTTTGACCCCAGGGCTTTTATTTGAACAAATTTGGTAGTCACCCATTAGAACATGTTTTATGCTAAATATCTTAGCTCTACCTCTTTGAGTTCTTTAAAAGAAGATTCAAGTTTTTACTATATGCATATAGGGAAGATCAATGACCCCCTGGGGCGGGGCCAATTTTGACCCCAGGGCTTTTATTTGAACAAACTTGGTAGACACTCACTAGAAGATGTTTCATGCCAAATATCTTAGCTCTAGCTCTTTGGGTTCTATAAAAGAAGATTTTTTAAGTTTTTACTATATGCATATAGGGAAAATCAATGACCCCCTGGGGCGGGGCCAATTTTGACCCCAGGGCTTTTATTTGAACAAACTTGGTAGACACTCACTAGAAGATGTTTCATGCCAAATATCTAAGCTCTAGCTCTTAGGGTTGTTTAAAAGAAGATATTTAAATATTTTTCTTTCGGTTGCCATGGCAACCAGAGTTCTGCATGGAATTAAATTCTTTGAACAATTTTTAAAGGTGACCACCAAAGGAACATTCCTGTGAAGTTTGGATGAAATTGGCTCAGTGGTTTATGAGGAGATGTCATTTTAAGCAAAAGTTTACGGACGGACGGACGACGGACGAAAAGCGATCACAAAAGCTCACCCTGTCACTTTGTGACAGGTGAGCTAAAAAGGTGGAATTAACTGGAAAATTATATACCATCAGTCCTGCTCAAATTTTTCACCATTTTCATGATTTAAGTGGCGTTTTGGTGGCATTTTTGTGGCATTATTGGTGGAAAATTGTCTAAATACTCCACCATTGAAAAGGGTGGCATTTAAGTGGCAAATCTAGGGACGGGTAGTCCGGAAACAATTTTTACTCTATATGCATACTAATAAAGGGCCATAACTCTGAGTGAAAGTGTCTGACCGATACAAGGCGACGATATGCCCGTCTCCTCTTGGTATTGAAGGTTCCCATAAAGTTTCGTTGAATTCCAGCCAGTAGTTTAAGAGAACTAGTCCGGAAACGATTTTTACTCTATATATATGCATACTGCATAACTAGTCAAGGGCCATAACTCTGAGTTAAAGGGTCTGACCGGAACAAGCTGACGATATGCGCATCTCCTCTTGATATTGATGATTCCCATAAAGTTTCGTTGAATTCCAGCCAGTAGTTGCAGAGAACTTGTCCGGAAACGAAATTCGGATGGACGGACGGAAGGACGGACAGACGGACAACGTCAAAACAATATCCCCCGATCTATGGGCGGGGATAACAAGCACTTGGTGGTAATTGTCTTTAAATATCAGATTTATATTAAGTCATAAAATGTACATAATATTCAGGGTCGGCTACTTGTCCGTTTCTATGTGAAGCATTTTTTAACTTGTCTGTTTGATATTTACATAGTTAATTCTTGAAAATCTTCACTTGTCCGTACAGGCTGTGGGACAACCTAGGCAATAGTGACAATTCATTTTGCCGGCCTTGCATATAATATATAACTAACTTACTTTTCTTGTTCTTTCACCAGTTGAAGTCTGCCTTGTTCCACTATCCGGATTTTTGATTGACTGAACTCAGCCTTTATTAAAATAAAGATAAAAATAAATAAATAATATTTTGTTTGTTTTTAGTGTATGATGAAATTTTATTTCATCCAGTGAGCTTTTAAAACAGTATTCTCACTAGAGGCACAGCCATGAGTGAGAATACTGTTTTTAAAGTTAAAATATTCGAATACCATATTTAATGACAGTTGCATTGAATTAAATGAAGTTTTATCTTTCAAACTACATTTTTAAAATTTATCCACATTATTACGGAGTCGCAAATTTAGCGGCGCGGGTATGCAATAAAAACATTTTAACCTAAATCTTTAAAGTCATATACCTTGTTCATCTTTTGGTAAAATATTTTTATCTTAGAAATGCATTGAAATCGATGAAATTCTTAATTTGAATAAAATAATGAATAAACTATGTATGGGAAGCTGCATTCCCTTATTACGGGTCAAGTAAAATTGGTCTTTTTCTTAAAAAACTGCCAGTTTTTTTTTTAAATGACACTATATATTCATATGGTGACCACATAAAATTATAATGTGTAGAAATCAAAACATATCATATCTACCTTAAATGAATTACAAACATGTTTATTTTATACATACAAAGAGACTGTGTAGCAATTATTAATATTTTTAAAAATAAAATTTTAGCATAGTATATCATTAACAACATGATTAAAGAATTAAACATACAAGAACATTTCTCTTTAGATCTAGGCACCATTGGTCCATCATATTCTCCATCTTAGCTACATCAGGATCTACTGTTGCTTTGTATACTTTCTCATATTCTCCAGTTACCTGCGGCAAAATACAAAAACATAAAAATATCATCAATCAATCTATCTCAGGGATTTTAGAAATATGACCCATACCAACGGAATTGGGAATTTCAGCAATGCTTTGTTAAAAATGGGAAAAATGTATTACTTAAATTTTGCAGTAAATAAATGAATGCAAAGAGTCACTTTCTAGGACTGTATCTTATTTTCAAAGATTTTAGAATTTGTTATTTAATATATTTATTGTGTATATATTTATTGTGTAACTTTTAATTACAATTTTTTTCCTGTGGACTGGGAAAATTATCACTATTTTCAACTGGGAATATTACAGAATATCGGCTATAAAACAAACCAAAAAAATTCCCTGAATCTATATTAGTTGTTTGATAGCTGCTGAAAAAATCAATTATCATTCAATAGAAGGTTTACACCCTCATGATATAATTCCTGGCACCCAAACTCCAAACAGTGAAATTATTTAGCTATAAAATCACTGTTTGGGATATATTATTTCTTAAATACAAGTTGTTTGTTAGCTGCTGGAAAATAATATGCGGGAAAAAAATCATCAATCAATCAATCTATAACAGTTGTTTGTTAGTTGCTGAAAAAAGCTTAAGATCAAGGAGTTATCATATCCTTCAATTAGTCAAGCTAAAGATCAAAGAGTTATCATATCCTTAAATAAGTCAAGCTTAAGATCAAGGAGTTATCATATCCTTAAATAAGTCAAGCTTAAGATCAAGGAGTTATCATATCCTTCAATTAGTCAAGCTTAAGATAAAAGAGTTATCATATCCTTCAATTAGTCAAGCTTAAGATCAAGGAGTTATCATATCCTTCAATAAGTCCAGCTTAAGATCAAGGAGTTATCATACCATTCAATTAGTCAAGCTTAAGATAAACAAGTTATCATTTCCTTCAGTTAGTCAAGCTCAAGATCAAGGAGTTATCATATCCTTCCATAAGTCCAGCTTAAGATCAAGGAGTTATCATACCATTCAATTAGTCAAGCTTAAGATAAACAAGTTATCATTTCCTTCAGTTAGTCAAGCTTTAGATCAAGGAGTTATCATATCCTTCCATAAGTCCAGCTTAAGATCAAGGAGTTATCATACCATTCAATTAGTCAAGCTTAAGATAAACAAGTTATCATTTCCTTCAGTTAGTCAAGCTCAAGATCAAGGAGTTATCATATCCTTCCATAAGTCCACCTTAAGATCAAGGAGTTATCATACCATTCAATTAGTCAAGCTAAAGATAAACAAGTTATCATTTCCTTCAGTTAGTCAAGCTCAAGATCAATGAGTTATCATATCCTTCCATAAGTCCAGCTTAAGATAAAAGAGTTATCATATTCTTCAATTAGTCAAGTTTAAGAACAAGAAGTTATCATTTAAATAAAATTTCAAATGTTTTTACCTTATTGTTGTTTCCATTCAAATCTGAGACTGTTGATGGTATTCTTGCAAAATAATGACTGGGTATAGGATCTGTAAAATATAAACAACTTGTCAACAATTTTGTCAAAATCCATGCTAGAGTTACTGACCTTTTATAGTGGCCTCCAACTATAATCCTACAGACATGCATTAATTCATAAATGAAAACCGCCCATTTGCATTGAAAATACATGCTGCATATAAAAATTTTAACAATTTTGTTTTTCAAAGTTCAATCAGGGCCCTAAAATCCATGTAAAAATTATGAGCCTCTGACAGTGACCTCCAGTTAAGATCCAAAAGACAGGTACTAAGTGTTATGTGGAAAGCTTCAATAGTTTTGAAGATTGATGTTGCATGCAAAATTTAACCAAAAATTAAATTCTAAGTTCAAAAGAGCTATTATAAATTCATACAAAAGTTGGTTTATACAGAATTTATTTTAGTTTGATAGTGTAGGAAGCTATAAGCTTATAGACACACTTTAAAATCCGTTCCTGGAACCAACCAGTACTGAGCAATGTGTGTAAAGTTTCTTGCTCAAGGAAACAACAACTTGCCCCTGGCGGGGTTTGAACCCATGGGCTAGCGATCATTTGATTGCTAGTCTGACGTGTTAACCACTCGGCCATGCCACCACTGAAGGTCATTAGATAGAGACCTCCTATTAAACTCTCAAACATAGGTGCAAATTAGCATTAGTTGTTAATGAGATATGATATGGCATACAAAACTTTAAAAGTGTTATGCCTATGCCCAATTATTCTTCAAATAGCCGGCCTAAAAATTGTCTTAACTCATACTTAATCATGTCATAGCTAAAGGCCAATTTAATAATGTTATATAACACATGTAAATTGTATGATGTCATAGAATGCAAATTAAATTAAATCAGGTCTGATGTAACACAACTTAAATTAAATCATATATAACACAAGTTAAATTGAGTTATGTAATATAACACAAGTTAAACAAAATCATGTCATATAACAAAAGCTAAATTGAATCATAATTGAATAATAACCAAATCTATTCAGGGATCATGTAACAAATCAGCAACATTACCATGTGGTCTCTTTTCGTCTAGGATTGGTGACTGGCCTCCAAAATCAGGAAGCTTTTCTCTTGGTGTAGTTTGTGGCCCATAATATATAAAACGGCTGGTGACAGTTTCAAGCAAAACATAACAAAGGCAGTTTGCGTACAATATTTAATACACTAAAAAGACTACATAGATTTATAGCAATACACATGATATAACTACAGTTTGTTTTGTATATGTATTCTTAACTTAGTTTGTGTAAACATGGTTACCAAGAAACTCTTGAGTTAATATTTTATCGCATCGGTTTTGTATTGTTTCTATAAAATTAATTTTACGGTCACGATACGGTTCAAGTTAAACCACCAATATTTTTTTTCAAAATTATTAACCCCAGAAGAAATTAACATATAATTGTATTCGGGTGCGAAGATTTCCCGTTGGATATCTGTTGTTCATACCAATACAAAAAAGGTCCATTTGTCCGAAAAACTATCCTTTTTTTTTCTCTCAAAAACATTTTATATAAGGATATTTTTTTACAATTTCAAAAACTTAAAAACCTAGAAGAACCTTTTTTTTATTTAAATGTTTTTTTGGTAATCTATACAATTATAGTGAATAACATTTCTTTACAGAAGTCAGAATACTACTTTGTTTATATTTTGCTATATTTTCGGAATATTACTGCACATTTAATCGCTTATCATATAAATAAATATCTCAGCATTTCTAAAAACCACATTTACTTACTATGTTACCATTAAGCCAACAAGATAGACCTTCAGGGAAGGACCCTAGATAATGTTGGTATAACTT